AAAATATCATTTTCTCCAATTAAATACGCTTAAGATATGCTGTTTAAAGAAACAATATAATGTAAATGGACCTACCTCATAAAATCAAATACTGTTTTCTGACCAAAATTTCACCAGAAAATGAAAGTTAAACCCCATTAGCTATAAATAACTTGAAAATTCCTTATTGATCTTCCTTCACAGTCGATAAAATCTTAATGTTTACATTTATTTGTTGACAGTGACGTAGGACTTTATAAAGTCATAAATTCCGCGCCAAAATTCAAAGTATATACCTGTATATATGAGTGACCAGTCCGTAGTTGTTCAGTGTAAAAGGACGCCCCAATATGGTCATACAAAACAAACCATGGGTATTGACATACATTACGAAAAATACCAAAAAACATCTTTGGAAGAATCAGGTTTGATGTGGTTTTCGTTCAGATGGATGTTACAATTAGCGGCTGCAATGATTATACCATATTCGCGATCGGACGCTTAAATTTTTCGCATTTACGTTTAATACTTCTTATAACTGAACGTAGGAAGTTTTAATCTTAAACAACATTTTAGATTTACAAATGTACAATTGTTAATTGAGTTAATCAGAAGTTTTTTTTACAATGTGGTTAAATATACTTTTACAGAGAAGTCACTTTAAAAAGACGACCCAAAAAGACAATTCAATATGTTTAAATAAATACTTACACGACATATGCCACACGTGGAGTACGATCTGTTTACCCTTCCGGAGCATCTGAGATCACCCCCTGTTTTTGTGGGTTCGTGTTGCTCAGTCTTTAGTTTTCTATGTTGTGTTTTGTATACCATATATAATGTTGTTTTTTGCCATGGCGCTGTCAGTTTGTTTTGCAAAGTGTTCCTTTGGTATCTTTCGCCTCTCTTTTACACGCAGTTGCAAAATTTGAAGGGGTTCGAAGGGTCGAAGTCTAGGAATTATTTAAACAATATATAAATTAGCACTGTAAGCAACCGTTTGATTTGTGAGAGGGGATAGGCAGGCATTAAAAAAATATCGGTGTACAAAATTTTATGAAAAATTCGGAATACGTTCTGGCTTCATTGAGTTGATTTATGAATACAGTATTGTCATAGATACATGTATATAACTTTTTAATAGATCGGCCGGAACCAATTGATTAATAAATATATATGGTCAGCCAGATCTCCATGATGTAAAAAAACGCGTAGTTTAAAAAGGCCAACTTGGGAAGTCAAGGTAAAACTTGCCGAAATCGGAAAAGAGGCGTTGGTGGTACAGTCGGTCGGACAGTGATATGTGCTTTGTGAAACGCCCTTAGGCCAAACATTGACTATAAAAGACAGTCTATAAAAGGGCAATATTTGACAGAAACAAAACTTTCAACATTTGCAAAGTTACGTAAGTTTTATTGCAGTCAGGTTATAGTAATTCTAAAATGAATAATAGGAATTGTGGGCTATACGTCAAAGAGAAAGCAACCAAACGCCAATACTATAAATGGACTGAGTACTTTGACCTATTATTGTTTACTTTTTACACATTGTGACTTGGATGGAGAGTTGTCTCATTGACACTCATACCACATCTTCTTTTTTCTAAGTATAAAAGATTACAAAATACAAAATAAATAGCAAGTTATACCGTTAGGGGAGGGTTTGTGCCTTCAAACATGTTTTACATCGCCACATTCTTAATGTGCCTGTCCCAAGTCAGGAGCCTGTAGTTTAGTGGTTGTCGTCGATTCATGTCTGTTATATTTGTTTTTCGAAAATTGTTTGTTATAAATCTGTCAGTTTTCTTTATTGAATTGTTTCCTATTTTTCATGTCGGGGCTTTTATAGCCAACTATACGGCATGGTTTTTTCTCATTGTTGGAGGCTGTACGTTTGCCTATAATTGCTTAGTCCACTCATTTGAAACTTAGTGGATAGTTGTCTCATCGGCAATCATACCACATCTCCTTATTTTTATACCGTATAAAAAAAAATTCTCGGATGCAATATACACATTCAAACTTACATACAATGTAATATGATAAATAATTTTAAGGTGCGTAAACTTGCAATTCGACACTGTTATTATCATAGTTTTGTTTCTTATAACAGCAATACAGTTCATGCATTAGCTATTATATACCTTTTGGTACTTTCGTGTATGTTTTTTTTACGTTTTAGCATTAAATTTCAGTATTTATTAGAAATGAGACAATATCTGAAAAAGTATAATTTCCATGTTCCATCTTTCACCAGCAATTATATTTTTATTCAGGCATCTTTTTGGAAAATTTTAAGTTTCAGTATTAACTAAAGTATATTATGCACCAACTATTGCCAATTAAACACTCTTTCTTGTATTTCTTCTAATAAAATATTATAATTTAAAAGTTCACCCCCCCCCCCCCCCTCCCAAAAAAAAAATCATGTTGTCCGGTGTTGTTTTCTGACAACTAAATCATTCAAAGAATATCTAAATTAAGTAAACAGGCTTCCGATTTTCACAAATATGATAGATTATATAGAACACTTGTCCCTTAATTGTCTGATTTTGTTATAACTAAAGCATGTGATAAAATTTTGCATTTTTAAGGGTCTTTTAATTTTTGTCCCAAGGGGTAATTTCCCTCCTGTTACCACTAGGTTTTTTCACCTGTGGAAACGTTTGAAAGACCAAGATTTTATTTCTTGTAATGCAATGAGAAGAGCATCATTTCCTGAATGTACGACTCCATATGTATAGGTGAATGGCAGCCTGTTTGAAAAATCCGAACTCCCCAAAGATCAAAATTTAGAGAAAAATAATTTTGTTGTTCTCTCCTTCTACAGCTTTTTGTGTACCTTCTGAGAATATTTCATTGTCAGCACTATAACAGTAAATGTGTTTTTATAGTATCTTATTAAATTGATATGTAGATGGAAGTAAACTTCTACACAATTCGAATAAAAGGACAAAAAGAACTGTGTAATTCCTTTCTGTTACATTCTGTCATGTTACCTTATAAGAAGTAACAGCATAACCATAATCAGTAACAGGAAGGATGTTAAAGACAATTTCACTGATAAATCACAAAGTTAATCTACTATATGTCAAACATTAATATCAACATAATATACAGTATATTAAATGAAAAGACAAGTTTTTTGCTTTTGATAACAGCAGAGAACATTGTGCAATTCTAGTATAGTAGATGGTAACAGAAAGGAATTTATTTTAGAATTTTTCATTACCTAAGCAGATTTTTCATCTTGCAAATACAGTTTCAAAAGATAAATGACATTGTTTGCTGTTATCTTCCAATTGTGACCAATCTGAAATGATGTATTTTTCTTAAACTATGAAATAAAGCAATTGTTTTGAAAAAAAATTCCTTCCTGTTACCAACTCTGTCCTGTTACTTGTCCTGTTACTCAAGATTCTTTCATGTTACCGACATATCGGACTATATTTAAGTATGTTTCTTAACCTTTTGTATTGCAAATGCTAAAATAAATAATTGGCATTTGATAAACTATTGCAGGATATACTAGTAAACCACAAATATTATCTTAAACTTATTCCTTATTCCCATTAGACACTTTTTAAAATTGATTCACTTTGGTAACAGGAGAGAACTGGAATTTTTTGTACCATTTTTTAAATTGCCATTGTTACCACATTTAACAATTGTTTGAATTACAGACAATAGTTCCTAGATCCTCAATGTGTGTTCTTCGATTTGTGCTATTAAAATACCTGTTCTAAAGAAATTTTTTTTTGGTTTTTCCTATTGCCAAAAATTAGACTTTTTCAGATATTGTCTCAAATACACACAATAGTGTCAGCTTTTACTGGTGGACCTTTCATATTATTTCAATATCAACCATATATAAGGGGATCTCGTCGCGATAGATTCTTTTTGCCCTGAAGTAACGTAAGGCAGTTATTAATCAAACGAATCAATTTAATATTTGCAGTGATGAATGGCAGGAAGTTAACATGCACTATTCGCTGTAACAAATCATGCCCAGCTAATGATGTCACAATAACATAATATCGGGGTAAGCGCATGAACATACATACGCCTTTGATCCCTTGGCAAAAATTAAAATATTTCTCAAATATCTTACTTAAAAATTCGTTCATAGGATGACATTTTTACATTAAAAACTGGCCAAACTTTGTCTACTGAGGCTTAGTATTTTTTTTATTTTTTTAATCGCGTAAATCTGTACCAAAAACTTTGACCAAACCTTTTAACCTACGTTGAAGGACTTAAATTAACCTCAATCCCATTTTTGTAGACAACTCTTAGTGGCGTAGAAGATTGCAAATTTTTGAAGAGACACACAAAAAAAACCTGTTCCATAGTATTATAGTATAGCTTGCTTTCATTTTCATGTATAATTTTCAATAATATTTTATTTGACTTAAACGACTTTGACGAGTACTGACCCAACCATAATCAATTTAGGATATGAACGTAAACAAATACACAACGAGAACAGCAAGAATGACGAGAAATATTATGGCACAATGAGACTTCTCAATAATGATCAATAATGAACTGATAGATTTGTATTTATTAGGAATTTTGATTTTTCAATTCATCATAATTTATTACGATAAGAACAAAAGAAACGTTACTGTTAGACATTTTTGATGCAAAATTAAAACCAAAATGAAAATGAATATGTGTGTGTGTGTGTGTGGGGGGGTCCTATATGTATACACAGACGTCTTAATAAAAAAAGTCATGGTAGCTGGGAAATATTTATAAATTTTGTGATTTCCCTACATATGAAATATGTATGGGTAGGGATTTTTAAACAAATCATTATATGACATGTATGAATTTATTTTTAACCCTAGTTGGACGTCTGTAACCACATTTGTATCCCCCCAACCGTGTTAGCCTTCTAATATAATGCCGTTAAAATAAGATTTTATAATTAACACAGGATAAGAAATGCAGCTGTTTGCAATTTTGTGTATATATACTTAAACACACAACAGTTACTGTGAATGTAATTGTACATACCTAACGGATTGTATTGTTGACAAAGAATTCACCTGATAATGAAAGTAAAAACCTTTCGATATAAATAACTTGAACATTCCTTATTTATATTCCTTCACACATCGTCAGGTCAATACTATAGACAAGATCCCAATGTTTACAATTGACGCAATGTTATGGCTTGATAGTGACGCAGGAATATTTTCTCGAAGAAGAGAATTTTCGCGCGAATTTCAAAGTGTTAGACAAAACGAGATGGTAGTTGTGCAAATAAAACTGGATGTGTCAAACAGTGTAAAGGGTCGTCTAAATATTGTTCAACGCTCATTGATCTTTAAAAAAAATCTGTTATTATAAAAGCTACTTATTTAGGAGAGCTAGATGGGTCATTTTAAAAAAATGTAGAATTTTGAAATTTTGAAATTGTTTTGAAGTTACTATTTCAAACAACCCTCGTCATAAGTAAATCAAAACAAACAGTACTTATAGAACAACATATAAAAAGATGCAATCTTGATAATGTGATACAAGAATATATTGAAACATTTTTTGATAGGCGGTGCAATATTTTGTCTCTCCTGTTACCATGTTCAAAAGAAATTTCGGGTTACTTAAAAGAGGTTTCGATAAAATTTTAAGCTTGTTTTTCATAGACAAGAAGATTGTTTTCAATAGTAAAAACTTCTACATATATTTATTCTGTAAAATGATAGATTTTTTGTCAATTTTCCATGCTGTACTGAAAAATGCCTCTAAAAATTGGTTTTCAAAGGTTATAAAAATAACCATCAGTAATGCAAGTCTAAGATAGCAATTCATAATGTTCAGCATTTTTTTCTCTCTCTTTCTAATAACCCCAACATCAAGTAATTCCCTCGCAGGTTAGTTTACTTTTGTCTTTATTTTATTGGTAACAGGAACGTACGTTAATGATATATCACCATATTAAGTTCTATCCTGTTACGTTTTGTCTATCCTGTTACCGATAGCAGTATTGCATCTGCAAATGCTAAATTGCGAAGATTAAGACGTTATAACCTTTAGATGAGTTCAAACAACGACACATTTCAGTATGTGTACAACTATATGTAAGTATTAACATTTTAAAGACGTTTCTGTCTACTATTGTCTATCCTGTTACTGTAACCATAGCAACCATAGTAACAGGATAGACATAACAGGATAGACAAATTTCTTCATTTTTGAATGTTGTTGTGAAATAACTTCTCCCTTTGATGAAGTGATTTTGTTTTTCTGTTGTGATTTTGGTTTCCAACACGTAATTGCACTTTTTACAAGTATAATATTGGTGTAATTAATCAATATGTTGGTAACAGCATTGACAAGACAAAAAGGTACCTTCTATTTTTTTTTCACTAAATGTCTTGAAATTTTTTTCTCTACATTGTTATATAAGAAACGTGCTGTGTTAAATGTTTAGGTTACTTTGCGCTATTGAAATCAACACTGACTAGTTCAATATTCATAGGGAGAACAATTTAACGGGTGATTTAAGTAGCGGTAACAGGATGGACATGAACTTCATGTACGCTGATTGAAATTAGTTTGTAGAAAAAATGTTACATATAATAATAAAGAAGCTGCGATTTTTCGTTAGAGTTATTTTTAACATTCTAAAAAAGTCCCTTTTGCAGATATCAAGGCAATCAGAAAATAGGAAAAAAAATCATTTGAAATTTGTTACTCTGACACTGTACGCACATAAATTACGCAAAAAATCGGGCTTAAATATATTTTAATCTTTTCAAAATAGATCTAAATCGTGTTAATTATTAATGTTCTGACTCATAAATTTTACAAACTTTCATTTAAATACTAACAACTGCATTTTCCATTAAAAATAAACGGAGTTCTTATAGTTATATATTTACATACATTTGTATGAGGTCTATGTACATTTTTGAAGGCCATATGGTGACATATAGTTTCTTACATGTATATCTACATGTACGTCATTTACAGCGGTGGATCCGGGTGGGGGGTGGGGTTTGACCAGGTGCACGAGACAAGCCCTGATGCTGACAAAAATGTAGCATAATATACTGATAAAGAATGTGATTTATACTTTGATTAATTTACCAATTAGTCGATCATGTATTTTTATAGAATAAATCTGTAATCACCGATCATTGATTGCTAAGTCTATTTCTTTGATATGGAGATGCGAAAAACGAAGAGTGAATTCTGAATATTAAAACTTTTTCGATGTTCATTTCTATATATTCATATCTTAAATATTTGAATGTTACTTCCAAATTTTCCGAAACATTAATCGGTTGATATAGTAATTCCAAAATCCAATGATTTAACACTCATTCTGACTGTAATCAACATTCTTAGTCCTATACGTCACAATTCTTAAATTTCATTAAAACTTTTATTGCATGTTTTGAAATTTATACCAAAAAAACTACAAATCAGCCGCACTCTAAGTACTAACGAACCTTAATGGGCCTAGAATGAAATAGCTCGAAAACCTAAAATTGTTTTTGATTTTCATAACTTCGACTTATTTAGACAAGCTTTCTTTCAAAAGTAAAACATTTGGTTGTATTTGTGGCAAAATAAAAAAAGTCATTTGCCAAAACAAGCAACTGAAAGCATTTAGAAATGCAACTAGATTGACCATACAAACATCTTTGTAATTCAAATAGTAAGATCGTGTTCCGGAAAATGAATTTACGTGCAACAATCGGCGAGGAATTACCAAATGGATTAGCAATAATGCACGTTCATTATGATTTACATTTTGACCTTGATATGCTCGTTTATAACGTTACTAACAGAAAAAAAAAGGAAAATGATGATGAGTGTTTAACGTCCAGTTTCAAATTAAATGTATATTCAAGAACGAGAAAATGGTAATGTGATATGAATATAAATTAAAACCTTGAATTGTAATAGACCGACCCTGACGGATTTTTAACGTGCTGATTCAAAAGGAGGCAGTCTGCAAGAAGAAATTCACCCTGTCTGGGAACATTATTCTAACCCCGAGCCAAACAGTCTTTGCTTTTACTCCAATATGCCGCGTGCTTAGTGGAGAAGCAACAAATACAAATTTTCAAGTCTTTGGTTTGATCCCCGGGGTTCGAACTCACGACTCCCACACTGGAGGCGAGTGCGCTATCACAAAACCACCGAGGCGGTAAAACAATCAAATAGGAATCAATTTTGTAAACCATATGTTACTATTTGTTTTGTTACAATCTGAAGACCTTCACATCAATATAAAAATGGTTGAAATATTTGAAGCTTCGTGTTAGTGACACCCTTCTGAAAAATTTCTGGTTTCGCATCGGACTTGGTCCCCTTTGGATAGTTTTTTCATTGACAATCATACCATGTCTTCTTATTTTTTATATCAATTTCAAAATTGGTGTCAAATTGGTTTTAAACCGAGTGGACGTTTTCCCAAAAGGGATAGGTCTAGTATGTTTAAATATATTACTTAATTATAATGTTTCCTGCTAAGATCTAACAAGGAAACAACATTCATCCCAATTTTTTGGTGCCTTAAATTAAGTGATTGTTTTTGGTTGTCTTTTGTGTGTTTTTTGTCGACAGTTTCTTCTCAAAGGCATAATTCATTAATTTCATATAAAAAAAAATACACACAAACAAAGTCACTATATTTATAAAACTAACATGTAATCTGTAAATTGAGTGCAATGTATAAATAAAGAAAAGTATTTTCATGTTTGTCACATATCAAAAACTCAATGAAAGACCAACTGCAGAGAGTAGTTCTTAGAATGATTATTAGGTTTGTATATTCCATAAAAGACTGAGAGATGAAAGACTCTTTAATGCAAGGAACGTGTATACATCTTACATGAGGAACGTGTTTGCTTTCATATCATTGACATACGGGTTCCATTGGAATGAGACAGTGTGTAAGGTGAAAAAGATAAATTTTTATTAAAAGTCAATATTTGGAAAAACATTGAAATGACAAGCTCGCTAGATCTTTTTCCGAAAATTAAAACATATACATATACATCAGCTCAATGGCATGCAAAGTTGCAGAAAAAAGTGGCAGCCGCATATTTTATAAAATATTGTGTAGAAAAAATTTCTCAAAGCATTACAATTTTGCATGTATGTAAAACAATACAAGATTGAAAAATTACGAAATCAGATTATGAATCTTTCATGGACAGGAGGCCCATGTACAGCAAGTACCATTCCAAACCAATACGAATTTCTCGACTGGATATAATTCGTTTATTTTTTTAACAGTGAATTCCATAATATGGGTGCTTCATACCGAAAGATTTTTGACAAAGGCAATTGATGGCACTTCCAATCCAATCAAAACCAAGGCAATTGAAATATACAGCAATGCCGCTTATGAAGTCAAAAGCCTCTCGTTATCATGGGACTGAATTAGAGAGGGCATTTTAGTTATTTGCAGCAATGCATCAAAATTTGAAATACAATCGATGTGTGTTAATCTCTGCTCCCTCTCCTGATTTTGTTGTATATTATATTTAATTTAATACAGAAATGCAATTGGTGGACAACATTATTATTGAAAGCATATGTATAATGGGGTAAACTATAGATAGTTTGTTTAGTTTTGGTAAATTAATACCAATTCTTATTTTAAACGTTTAATTGTTGTGAGGCTTTTCTACATAAAGTTTGGACACGCAAATCAAGAAATTCAAGTATATATTTATTCCTAGAGGTTTGACAAAAACGTCACATGATATATTACTTAGTATTTCGAAGTAATTTAAGTGAATTTCAAAGTCTTTAAGTTCTAAGTGAAGTTTTGCGTTTAAAGGTAGACATAGAAGATATAGTGTTACAATAATGCATGGTTATTGATTTCTTTAGAAGTCAATTACTGATTTGCCCAAGAATCTTCACATCTTGTGAGTACGTTTGTCATTATGTTGATTTCGTCATAGTAAACTATGATTGTGACGTCTTTTGACAATTTTTTGTACAATACTAAACAAAATGACACTTTGAGACTTTAAAGTTACATTCACATTTGTAAAGTGTTGTCTTGTGCACAAAGGTTTTAATTGTGTTTCTAAATGTACAGCTACATGAATGTCCGCTTGCATTCGTATTACAGAAACACTACAGAAACACTACAGAAACACTACAGAAACACTACAGAAACACTACAGAAACACTACAGAAACACTGCAGAAA